CTTTATCTAGTGTAAATAGATGACCATACCAGCTTAAACTTCTCCTTTTTAATTCTACGGCTCCATCTTTCAAGATTAAAGATTATAAAATTCTTCATTTTTTACTTTATCATCCCATTTAATTTTTAGCATTTTTCTGAAGAGCATTGATGTTTGCTTCAGCTGAATTATTTACCATCCACAACTCACTGTTGTAGAGAAACCATGTAATTTCCCCATAGAATTGTTGCTGCTTGTGATTTAATTTGTTCCCTACATTTATGAAGTAATTGTCCAATTTATTGGAAATTGTCCCATTTATTGATAGCTGTCGCATATATAAACATTTGTAGATTTTTGAAATGTGGTTCCTTTTGACACTACAAAAGGTTTGCTTGCTAGTAGCACTTTTCTTATTAGAACTTGGTTTCATAATTAATGTAAAAAGCAAGACATGGTGACTATCAATTTGCAATTTATGAATCAGTTGCTTAACAAAATTAATTAAATTTGATGAATCAATTGTTCTTTCAAAAATGGCATTTTTGATACTTAATTATTGTTTGGTACCTTTTTGTGGTATATTGTCAAAAGTTAATTGAAATTTATAAAATAATCTAATTTCTTGTCATACTTCAATTTTTGTCCTAATTACTGCCACAATTAATTGCAACCACTTGGTTTTCTGTCACTTTGGTTGTCATCGCAGTGACAGGAAATAGCTCTTTGAGCTGAGACTTGCATTGATAAGCCTGACACTGTGCTCCTTGAGCTTTGATGATTTTGCAATATTCAATGGTAACAGTTTGGTTTCTTAACTACAGAAAAACTCCAGCATTAAAAAGTAATGTCTTTTAATTCTGAGATTTTCCAAATCAAAGAAAATGAGATAGCAGACAGGATTCAAAGAAATATTTACCGTATTGCTATACTACCACAAATTCTGACAAATATATCTGCTCTTTACAAGTGTTTGAAACCCTGAAGAAGGTATGGATCTACCTAGCAACTACACAGCTCACATAGAACTGAAAGATCCCTTGCTGTTTGTCATAGTTCGCTGGTTATTTGCTGGTACTGGTATCGTTGCTAACTCATTTGTAATATTTGTGTTCATCTACAACAAGACTTACAAGAAGTCCCTGTCGCTCAAATTACTTCTCCATCAGACGGTGATTGATTTGTTCGGCTCTCTTATGTTTTTGATCTTTTACAACATTGATGTTCCCAACGGCATTGGTGGAACCATTTTCTGTAAAATGCAATCTTTATTCTTCTATGCGTCATCAACATCGACATACAATTTTGTTCTGCTTACAGGTCAACGTTATATTGCTGTAGTCCACCCTTTATTCTATCGCCAGAAATCCTTGGGTGGGAAAATTACATACCTCTCGCTCATAAGTCCGCACTTATGTGGTGTAATAGTAACGATATGTGTTCCCATATATGTAGACATACATGAATATATAAATAAGTGTACAATTGCCCGAATAAATTCTTTAGTTGCTATAATATTAATTATCTTTCAGTGGTTAATACCTGTTATTGTTATGCTGTACTGCTACATTGAGATGCTGTTAAAACTGCACAAAACGCGAATAGTTAACCAACAGCCTTTATCAAACTTTCAACCAAGTAATGGCAGGCAAGTTGATATCAAGTCAAATTTGTTGACTACCCTCGTCTTCATTGCATTAGTTTATTTTGTTACCGTAACTCCAACTACTGTTTCTTTATTGATTTACTTCATAGGCCATAGGTTTAATTATGTATTGCATGAGGTGTGTATATTGATGCTAGATTTAAACCTTACCATTAATCCATTTATATACTGTATGGCATACAAGGATTTTCAAAAGGGACTTCGCAAGATCAGAGATGACATACTTTAGCGTTAGATGAATCAGCATCAAATTTATTATTAACCAAGAATATGAACTGATATTGAGGAACTTGTAGGTGGTATCTTCTGGTGACTACAAGCCTCTCTGATGTGAGGATCATCATACTTGTTGAGGCATGGACCAGCTCACACACTACTCTAACTTCTTACTCCCCCAAGGGTCGCTTTGTGTCTGAGCTTAACCTGTACCAATTACTCTGGTCTATCCAAAACAGGGGATGAACCTTTACACTGGGCTAACCCTCTACTCTTGAAAGATGTACTGGGTTCTTTAAAGTGCACATGAGCCAATTGAGTACCCGGGTCTATAGTTTATAGTCCTTAACTTACAAGACTTGTTCCACCACCAGATCGTGCCGCTTGAAACTACGCTGATATATGGCTGTAGTTAGCACCCCTGCCTCAACCACACAGCCTTTTGACTCGTCAGTAATGGGTTAAGACAAAAGAAGGCATCCATTCATAGAAGTCTGGTGGAGATAGTCTATACATAGCGACTCTAAAATGGTGGAGACCAGGACTACCTTCGAATTCATATCATAGAAATATTGAAATATTTTAAATATAGAAGGTAAACAAAATTGACACTTGGGCTAGATAGATATCGTAATAATTATTATTGTATTCTATTAAATAATAAGTTTTAACGACAATAAGTACAAAGATATACGTTTGTGTTGGTATACTGTTATTGTAAGTAATAGTTAATGTAAAGAAAGAATAGAAAAGAGCGGCTTAATATTATGTACCGAAGTTATACTAGAGAACTCATTATTATATTTTACGTTTTTGTGGTATTCTATAGCATGAATTTTTTAGCACATAACAGATTGCCTGCGTGCAATATAGTGTACTAAACGATGATGGTAGAACTATAGCACACAAAATCACCCCGGAAACATCTCTTGGGGTCGTAAAGGCCATTTTAATAAAAATAGGCTTTGCATTATAATGGAGCAAAGAGCAGTATAAAATTATTTGCTGTCTGCTGTTGTTATTTTACGTTTTTGATATAAATTTTGGGCACTAATCATGATTAGACATCATGACCTTTATATTTTATTTTATATTACTTTTTATGTTTATATGAAGAGATGGTGTTGACCGGTGTAGGTCAACAGTTAGAAGTTTGGGAAACCAGTTATCTAGAAACTGCGGGCCCCTTGTCTAAAATTTGTCTTCAAATTACGTTCTCTTTGCTCGTGACCTGGTCTGTTAGGGCCAAAGATATTCTATTATAGAAGGAGGGGTAGTTCGGTAGGTCTTAATATTGGTGGCATTATTTTACCGGATAATTGATACCAGAAAAAAATAAAAAGAAGCCAGCTGAGGATGACAGGTTTCGAAATGTCCAGTAAGTACGTCTTCAAATATATTGATAAAAAATAAATTGAATATTAATAATCAAGACAGACGCAATTGTTCCAGTGTGCATGACAAGCAAATTCAAATTCTTTATTGCGTCATTTTGTCTAGGACTACAGTGCAAAACACAGATAATGGTCTTACAATTTGGGTTTGTGTGACCAAAAATAGAACGTTCTACAATGACCATGAAAAAACATGGATCAGATCTTTATAAGTCAGACATTATCCCTTGCAATTTTTAATACACAATTTCTATATTACACTGACTTTGACTTACATCTAGCTAACACAATTATATCTATATATCTGTAACACAAATTTTTGACAAAAATGTACAGTTACACAAACTTTTCCTAATGCATATATTTTACTACTGCACATTTTTAAAGTTTATTTTAAAATGTTTGTGTGGTGCAGTTTGTGCCTGTATCTTATTGTATGCCTAATATAAAAACTATTTAAACAATAACATTATGTTTACTTTATTTCAATAACCATCTCTGTCATATACTGTGTCTAGAGCACAGGTGGGCAAAGTACGTCCCGACAGCGATCTTTTTGCGGCCCGTGAATATGAAATAAAAACCCTATGTGTGTGTCCAGCCAAGCAACATTGGCTAGAAAACAAATTGTTTTTACGCCCTGACACTGATCATATGAAAAAAGTAGTATTAAAACTGGGAATAAAGTGGTGTAAAAGCAGTGCTTGGAGGTTTTTAAAAGCGCACTGGAAAGATCGAAGTTTAGGATGGCAGGTATCTTAACTATTAATAATAATAATAATAAAAATAATAATAAATTCTTCTATTATATTTCTTAAAGGACACAATCATGGACAATATGAACTATGACACGCTAAGTATGGACCTGCCTGTTACAATAGGAAGCTTTCGATTGCAAGACAATGGTAGGATGTACAACGTAATAACGTTAAGGTCACCTCGTCGAGTAGATTCTGGAACGCAATTTGGCCAAATCTACGTATGAAGAGAACGGTCACGCATGAGTGATTCCGTTCTAGTGTCGCGTCGTCCCACAAATTGAAAGCTCCCTAATGATAATTGACTTTTCTTCTAAGCCCCACCCATTGGAGATTGTTGCTAAGATCCCACAAAACAATAGCGTAAATGTATCCTGTTACGCTAATTACTCTGAAAAGGTCCATTATACTAGTTGGAGGACTAATTTATTAAATATACACTTTTACATATATGAATTCATATACATTGCATATCATTAAAAATGCACACATATAAAGAGTCTATGCAAAAATATAGGAATGGTATACAATTTGTAACTCTGATATTCAACTGAAAAGTAACATTAACTTAAAGGGGGTTTTTTTTTCAGCATAACATTATAATAATGTCTCTATTAAAGAAACTTGATTCAAAGTTCCCAACTTTGTTCTAGATACATGCATACTTTCCTTAGGCTTAAAGTTAAGGTAGCGGATACTCAGGTGTAAACTGTTTTCCGTATATATAAAAATAATTAAATTTTCGAAACGGAAAGGGTGGTAAGTAATACAGAAATTATTATCCGACAATGTTCTTTTTCACCTTCAACTTTAGACTCTTGAGTACAATGTTAGGCCATCAGAACTTTCAATGTAATATGACAGTATTTATTATGCTTTTATTTCTATAGAATATTTTTGGACAGTATATTATAATACAACACAATACACATCAGCACACCCAAAAAGTCATAATTAATAATATAATAGCATATGATATGGTACATGTGTTATGCTTTATGTACAAATACGTAAAAAAAAAACATTACTTACCTAACAGATAATGAAAATACTAAGTAATGTCAAAAAATGTAGCAAATTTTCTTAAAAGTAAAACTTCAGAAAGCGACAGAAAATAAGAGGTCCAATTTACCAGGCTAACTTCAAGCCAACATTTCAATAAATTTTTTTTAAATTCATGGTCCTACCTTTTTTCGGCGCCTTGAGACGATTTTATTGTGTAAGGCGCACTACAAATATCCCACCATTACCATTACAATTAGTCTAAAGTTATAGAACTTCTTTCTGAATTCCAAGGTTTAACATCTGCAAACACATTAAAACAATTCAAATCAAAACTTAAACTGACCTTCATATAAAACCCAATGATCCACATAAACTAAAACCCATTGAACTCAACAACACAATAATAACGATGAACATTATTAACTGTCATTTTAATAAAAAATAATTAGGGTAATGGGGTTAAATTATATTTGTGAATATTCAGGTCAAACATTACATTCATCTTATTTATTCGATAGAGTATATATTTTCCATTTATTTAATTTTTAATGTATTATTGTATAATTGCTGTCTTTGAAGAGGGGCGACAATGACGGACTCATAAAAGTTTCTGTTTCGTGCCTTGACCACTGTTATGTACCTGTAACTTCAATTTATTTAATTTCCACACTTGTTTAAATGGTCAAATAAATGTTGAACAAATGAAATGAAAAATGTGACAGTAAGTTATAGTAACACTTTATATTATTCCTTGCATTTTACGCAATACCTTAAAAAAATACTAATGTGTCTAAACGAGAAAATACTATTTTTCCCTATCAATTACATCTTTCCCTTTTTGTGTCGTGCCATGACCACTGTTATGTACCTGTAATTTCAATTTAGTTAATTTCCACACTTGTTTAAATGGTCGAATAAATGTTGAATAAATGAAATGAAAAATGTGACGGTAACTTATAGTAACACTTTATATTATTCCGTGCATTTTACGCAATACCTTGAAAAAAATACTAATGTGTCCAAATGGAAAAAATACTATTATTCCCCATCAATTACATCTTTCCCTTTTCTTTACTTTTTATTTCTTATCAGTAAATCTTGCTTTTGGTTTACTTTCTTTTCTTGAGTATGTCTTGTCTGATCTTGCGAAGTCCCCTTTGAAAATCTTCGTATGCCATACAGTAAATAAATGGATTAATAGTAAGATTTAAATCCAGCAACAACATACTCACCTCACGAAATATATGAATAACACCATGGCTCATTATGAAGTAAATGAAAAAAACACAGCCTGGAGTCATTGTAAAAATATTAACAAATGCAATTATGAAAAGTGTAGCCAACAAATCTGACTTGACTCTTTGAATGCCTCTGCTCACCGTAGGTTGAGTTGAGACAGTCTGAGGATTGTGGTTAATTCTTCGTGTTTTATGTAATTTCAAAACCATCCGCACATAACAGTAAATCAAAATACAAAGAGGCATCAGCCACATAGGGATAACTAAAAGTATTGCAGCTGTGTTGGTTTCTCCAAGTTTACATACTTTAGTGTCTGGTTCTATGTTTGCCTTTATAAGCATAAACCCTGTTAAGAGTAAACCGCACACATGAGTGCTAAACAGTGACAGGTATGTAATTTTTCCACCCAAGGGCTTCTTACGATACAATAATGGATGGACGACAGCAATATATCGTTCGATTGTAACCATAACAAAATTGTATGTTGAAGTTACTGACAGGTACATGAAAATATATTTCAGTTTACAGAATGAACTACCACCAGAAATACCAATGCTGCGGGTGATAAAAAATATCAGAGAGCCAATCAAATCAACCACAGTCTGATGAAGAAGAAATTTCAGCGACAAAGACTTCTTGTAAGACTTGTTGTAGACAAACACAAATATGACGATGGAGTTTGCAACGATACCAACACTAGCCAATATCCAACGAGCTAAGACTAGGACCAAGGGATCTTGCAGCTCAATGCGAGTTGTGTCGTTTCTAGGTACCTCCATACTTTTCTTAGGTTGCTCAACACTGGCAAAATAGCAGACAATTTACTCTGGTGTAAAATGTTTTTTTGAATATAATTTTTTTCCAAAAGGGTAGTAGTAATACAGAAATTATTTATCCGACAATGTTCTTTTATACCACCACCTTAGACTCTTGAGTATGATGTGGTATTAGAAAGAATAAATCCAGCATTTTATCAATGTCTGGGTCATTAGGAATTTTCAATGTTATGATAGTATTCATTATATGCTATCGATTTAAATAAACTTTTTTTGGAGAGTACATTATCATTCTGTACTTTGTTTACATACAACACAATACACGTCAGTATACTCCATAAGTCATCTATACAATAAAAAATGTGACAGTAGCTTTTTATAGTAACATTTGATAATATTATTCCTTGAATTTTATGTAATACCTTCCAAAGAATACTTATGTGTCCTAATGGGAAAATATTTTTTTCCCATTATTTACAACTTTACTCTTCCTTTCTTTTTATTAATGTGTCCTAATGGAAAATTACTTGGCGTCAAATTTGGTATAGCAACCAAAAGAAAATCAGAAGGGTTTAAATCTTGATGGGGAATAAAACTTGTTTTTCTCAAAGACTTATATTCAATACAGGCATCAGTTTACTAAAGTTGAATACTGCCTTCTATAATGTCCATCAACAAGCACAGTCAGGATAAATTATTAATTAAATAAATTATTCCTGATTAATGCAATGTCAATTATGCAAATAAGCAACTGGCATATTCACACACGTACCAAAAAAAAAACAAAAAAAAAAAAAAAACCCTGCAGCTTTATTACCATCGTTAATTTTGCAAAGTTTGAAATCAATTGGACTTTATACCAAACTTTAGTTATTGTAGTAAACTAACCTAATTATTACCTGATTAGTGAAATATTAATAATACGGATTAGGGCCTGGACAATCTTGGTAAATTTTCAAAATTGAAGATGCGGATGTCTAGACCAGCTCCCTTCTGCCTACCAACTTGAATTACTACACAGATTTAGGCCTAAGGTAGAACATTGTTAAAAAGGTAGGCCTAATTAAGACGTTAAGATAGGCCAAGCCTCTACTAGGCCTACTACTACTAGACTCCAGAGGCCTGGGCCATCCTCCTGGAAAGAGAAGTTGTGTTTGTAATGGTATGCCATCTAGCCTAAGCTTAATGAGCTTAGGTTTTTGCCATTACCCACACTAGTCTTACTATACTAGGAAGCTTTTACATCTTCCTGGTCTTACTAGGGTCTATTCTAAATATTTTAAGCCCGTTTTATTAGGGAGGACTATATTTTTAGTCATGCCTAACTAGTCAACGCGAGTGACTCAGTTTCGTGGGTCCAAAAATGTGAACATTGTGATCGGTTGAAGTCGTTTATTTTGGTCCGACCATTTATCCAAGGAATAAAAGATTATGTCACTCTTTTGGCATCCTGGTACCTGCATTCAGTGTTTTACAGGTCAATTATTCTGTTACTAAATTAACTTTCTTATTGGTGGTGCTTTTCAGAATTAGAAAAATAATTAAAAAAAATAAGAGACTTGTGGTAAGTATAGCAAAAACAATAGCCTCCTCAGATTTTCGGTCCTTTGGTGATGCTAATTAAATTTTATGTTATGTGTATACCACTGGAACTTAATTGCGATATATTATGTAACTCATAATCATATTTATAGAAATGTTGTTCAGGTAAAAAAAAATATTATTACAGACAATATACAAAATTTGTAATATTGGGTTACTAATATATCCTTATGCTTTTTCTTTCTGTTTATTTTTTATTTTCTTTATTTTTTAAAATATTTTCTGTTGTTTTCGTCTTCTTTTTATCTTTTCTTTTTTTTCACTTTCCCTTTCTTTTCATCTCTTATCTGAGCTAATCTTTTCGTATTCTTTATTTTCTTGATTTGGAGTTTCTAGCATTGGAGTATGTCACATATGATCCTGCGAAGTCCCTTTAAAAATCTTTGTATATCATACAGTAAATAGTATAATTTAAATTCGAAACAACACACTTGCCTCATAAAATATATTACCATGGCTTATTATAAGTAAATAAAAAAAAAAAACACTGCTTGGAGCTACTGTAACAATATGAACAAATGCAATTAAGAGTGTAGTCAACAGATCTGACTTGACCCTTTGAGCGCTTCTGCTGACCCCTAAGTTAAGTTTCAGTCGGCAGTACATGGTCAACTTTTTGAGTTTTATGTAATTTCAAAAGCATCCCGCACATTACAGTAAATCATAATACAAATGGGTATGTACTTGAAGAGAAATCTCGTTTTACAGAATATGGTTCCACTGGTGCCATAAGGAACCTCAATTTTGTAGAATAATTAGAAAGCAGAAAGCATGTTTGAAAGTCTCAGGCCAATTACTAAAACCAAGCTTTAATAGAAACTACAATTAAAAAACAAATGCTACTACTACTACTAATACTAATCGGGGCGGATCCAGAAATGTCCAAAAGGGGGGGCCGGAAGCGGGGGCCGAAAGTTGGGCCGATTGAGACAACACTGCCGTAGGGGGTCTAGGGCATGCCCCCGCGAAATTTTTGTGTTCTAGACGCCCGAACATAACATTTGAGGCATTCTGGGCTATCATTTTTTTCTTTTTCTCTCTTTTTTTTTCCTTTTTTCCCTCTTTTTTCCCTTTTTTTTACCTTCCAAAAGGGGGGCCGGGCCCCCCCTAAATCTGCCCCTGCTAATTTGTGATGCTATTACTGCAGCAAAAGTAAAAGAGTAAAACTGAAGTATAATCTCAATTCCATTAATTTTTTGACAATTATCTTAACATAAGGGACCAAAGTGGATATAATTGCCAAGACCATTCTATGCAAAGACCTGGCCAAGAAGGCCATCCATTGTAAGCATACATATGTAATGCGGATCAGAAACCGTTTTGTTATAATGAAAATTATTAAACTCACAAAAACTGACAGGTTGTAGTAAATTGCTTTTAATTGATGTTTTAAATATTGAATAGTAAAGTAGACACATAATTGTTCAAATCACTTAACACCAAAATGGA